GATCATTTTGGGTGCCAAGAATCTTGTACCATAATTGTGGTTTGTGGAAATTACCACTCTCTCCTATGAAATCGGAGATTTATTATGTTACAGCAGGATGAAGAGTGGGTTTTTGAAGGGAAAAAAAGATTGGATTGTGGAGAAGAAAACTGAGTGCGGTGAAGCTAATTGATGGGAGCACATAATACTGGCCACAGCATTTTAATTCCATGATTATTGGTACTCCATTGTGGAAGTGAAGATAATCTTGGGCTTGGCATTTTTTGTTGTCCAAATTCTTTACAGAGTTCTTGATTCTTAATATCAAATTGTGAGTGCAAGTTGTTTCTGGAAATTGTTGCTAATGCATGGCTGCCTCTTCGTGTACATCAAATTCAGTCCCAAGGACACACATTGATGATGAGTACGCAAATGCTTCACAAATTGATCCTAAAATTTTGATTACTACATCTCGGGATCCAAGTGCACCTTTGACCCAGTTTGCAAAGGTTGGCATAAACTATCCTTTTCTCCTTTGTAAATTTTGTAGTAGATATTATAGATTTTGGTCCTCACTGGAGTTTTATTGGCAATCTTGTAAACAGGAATTAAAAATTGTTTTTCCCAATGCACAACGAATGAATCGTGGTGGTCAGGTTAGTATTAATTTCGCCGACCTTATTGGTTTTTCTATTATCAGTTCATTTCTACATTTAGCCATTTCTTTGAATTTGGAATTTCTTGTTATTCGAGCTTATTCAGACACAGTAGTACTTCATTATGTGATAGTTGATACTTGAATACACGATTATTGTTTTTAAAATTAGTAGTGAACAGCAAGTGATAAATCCTGGTTATGCGTTGACGTTTGACAGTCAGCTTGTGAGGCTGTTAACAAGTCATGGGTGTTTTAATACTGTGTTGTAAGATGACAGATTTTTCATAGATAAGCTAAGGTGTGTGTATGTTGTAGTGTTTTAGTTGGTCCAGCCAGGCATATTCATGAAATGTTTCTAATACTATAGCTTTGGCAGTTAGAAAATGATAGAAACTAGATTACTATATTAATAGCTTGCAAAATCAGAAAATATAGAAGAATGCCCTGTATTTTCACTTGTGGAGTTGCATTTAAGATGATCTAACAGAAATCCTTTGCTTGGTGGTAAACTTATCTCCTCTTCATTTATAGGCCTTTTGTTTGATTAAAATGTTCTGTTGTTCCTTAGGTGATCGCAGAGATTATAGAGACCTGCCGAGCTCACGAATTTACAGATGTTATATTAGTTCATGAACATCGTGGTGTGCCAGATGGTTTAATTATTAGTCACCTTCCTTTTGGTCCAACTGCATATTTTGGATTGTTGAATGTGGTAAGTGTTCTTTTGGAATTCATTATTTTTACTAATGGTTTTTGGCACTAGTTGGTCGAGCTTGTAGGCTAACCATCTTTTCCAATTGAGGTTACAAGACATGAAATTAAGGATAAAAAAGCTATGGGAACGATGCCTGAGGCCTATCCACACATAATTTTGAACAATTTTACCACGAAGGTAACACAATTTTTATGATATGACGTCACCTTCTTATTTGACAGACTTCGTGGAAGTCTATTAATTATCACCATGTGCTCTTTATTTTGATATTTGTATTGGATTACAATATTGTATGATGTTAGACTGCTGAATTTAAAATTTCTAGAGTAGAACACAATGAAACGAGCTGAAAAAAGAAAAAAACCTTCGGATGTACATTGTTATTAGCTATTATCTTTTTTTTTTCTCCAAAGTTACTTAATTCCTTTCAAAGTAAATAATGTCTACTTTCAGAGTTGGGATTTTCCCAATATTCCTACTATTGACATGCCGGTACCATTAATAGTCTTGTCATCATTTTGTTAGCTTAACACCTCATAATTACTGCAACATGAAATGTTCTATTTTATATTTTCTTCCTTTTTTCCCCATAAGTCTCCACCATTTATTCGAATGTTCTCGTTCTATTTGCCACCATATCCCATGTGTATATGTGGTTGCATTTTGAGGACATCAATGCCTACGTTTTCCTTGTTCTCCCATTATGTAAAGATACTTTGTTAATCAGCTTCTCCTCCCATTTTTAATCTATTTCTCTGCATCCTATTGTCTTACATCATTGTCCTATTTTTGATAGTTGGGTGAAAGAACGGCCAATGTCTTAAAGCATCTATTTCCTGTGCCGAAGCCAGATACCAAACGTGTGGTTACTTTTGCTAATCAGTCTGACTATATTTCATTCAGGTAGGTTCGTTAAATTTTTTTCCCTAGAAAATGTTAAGTTGGTCTGATGAGCTTACTATGATACAATGATACTTAGGCTTAGTTTGGGATTGCTCTGCTTGTAGAAAAATCATCTATAACATAGAGTTAATTAGTGTTTAGTGTTTGGTAAATAATATTAAATAAATTGTTGTGATTTAGCTATATTGAACAAAATAGGCAGCCTCCGCATTTTGCGGGCTTTCTTTTTCATATGCCTTTGGTTTCTTTCGTTTTTTTCTTAATGAAAGCTTGGTTATCCATAAAAGAGAGACGAAACTAGGCATATTATTTTGACATTGATATTTAATATCCATTTTATTATGAGTTAATTGTTTACTTTCTTAAAAAAAAGTTTACAAATGTATATGATCCAAATAACAAGTTATTTTGGTTAACCTATCATCAAATAGATGTTGAAAAAAAGATGATATATATAGAATGATTGAATTGGAATTTTAAAAACTTTGCGAGAGATGACAAATTTTCATAAGAAATTGTTTTAATTCATTGTCCTATCTTTTTTCTCCATAAAAGTTTGGCTATTCATCAAAAGAAAATAAAAAAATTCGAATTTCTTTATCTATACAGTCAATTTTCCATTTATTATTGTCTTTGAAATGGTCTCACGAAGGGAAATGTCCATTTAGTATTGTCTTCAGTAGCAACCCTTTTCTAATTTGTGCTTGTTTTCTTTGGTCATTTGATTTTTTTTTAAAAAAAAAACTATAGGCATCATATTTATGAGAAGCATGGAGGTGCTAAATCAATTGAGCTGAAGGAGATTGGTCCACGGTTTGAATTGCGATTGTACCAGGTACCTATTCTATCATTCTGTACATTGCTTTGTCTATTGCCTGCATTTTAGATAGACTTTATACTGGAGAAACCATTTCAATTAACAAGGACAACCAAGCAATCGAGGTGTTCCAAACGTTAAAAGTATTTGATGGACAAATTAATAAGCACCATGGTCTTGCACATTATTATTATTATTCTGAATGACAATTCTAGTTTCTGAGCGTCTAAAGGCCCACATGGTGAAGAGAGAATCAATTTTAAGATGGTCAAAAGATTATTGTCATAGTAAGCATGCCCTTAGAAAAAGAAAATAAAAGTTGCTCAAATACTTCTCTATTTATTTGATTTTAATAGAACAGAACTTGAATGGAGGATCCGATATTTTTCCACAAAAGTCAAGAGCTATATAAAGTTTGGTGACAAAATTTTCTGTAGTCCTTTTGGAGTTCATAGAATGAGAAACCAGAAAAAACAGCCAGACAAACTCAAAATGACTTCCAATGAACTCTGAACTAAAACGTTTGGTGCTGAATGATAATATTTTCTATCTTCCTTTTGAACTAGGATGCATATTTTTTTATATAATCTTTTCTCGTCCATCATTCCTCGACCCATAATAATTTCACCAATCCAATTGTGCCTTGCTCGACCACTTACGACCATTAACCCAATCTGCAATTTTGCTGTGTTGAGTATTGTTTTTGGCTGGCTATCAATATTATGATAGATACTAAATTTGCTTTCTGGTTTTGATATATACTAAATTGTTGTTGGTTGGTGCAGATAAAGTTAGGAACTGTTGACCAAACGGAAGCTCAGAATGAATGGGTGATTAGACCATACATGAAAACAACCAAGAAACGCCAGTTCCTTGGTGATTGAGAAAATCTGCTCAAGAAGCAGGTTGTATTCTATCTTTTATTTTATTGCATAATCACATTTTTGTTAAAGATTATATATATTTGGTTCGGTTGGGGATACTAAATTTTATCTAGAGAATTGATAGATTTAGTTGAATCCTTGTATCAAGTAAGCTAGCTCAAGTAAGCTTTGTTTTTGACATAATGGTTGGTTGGGGATACTAAACATTCTCTAGATTATTCATAGATTTAGTTGAATCTTTGTATTAGAAAGTTAGTTGTGTTTTTTTTTCTATTAATTTCTCATTTTAATTTAAAGATTTCACTTTTTAAACTCCTAGTTTGCTAAATTTTCATGATCCAATCGCTCCATCTCGTTAAATCTAATTCAAAATTTGATTTTCAAAGGCCCAAGAAATTTCAAGAACCAAATCTTAAAAGTACCAATACAGATCGAGAGAGGAGTATATATGTCCATTAATCATAAGATCAGATGTCTAAAAAGGTAAGCAATCTGCATATATTAAATATACATATGTGTTGGGATGAACTGATAACATCATTGTTATCGGTACAAAATCGTGGAGATTAATTTGTCACGATAAATCCCTACAGCCTATTTTTGGCATAGATTCATACAAATTAAAAGTCATCGCAGTTGGTTCCTCTCTATACACCGGAGCTCTTTCTTTTATTTCGTCAATATTATTGTTAGCTTGTACAGTTCACTCTTGGGTTCCTTCATTTCTATGGTTATTTCTTAAACGGTGAGATCCTCTCTATACATCGGAGCTCCTTTTATTTCATCAATATTATTGTTAACTTGTATCGTTCACTCTTTGGCTCTGCTCATGAATTAGCTAGAATTCTGAGTTAAACGCTCACCCTAAATCTGGTTTGTCTCAAACATCCACTACAAAATCCGTGGACTCCAAAATTATTTTTGTCTTTCTCTACAAAAATAAATAAAAACTATAGTTACCCACTACACAATCTAATATAATAATTAAACTTATAATTATATACTTTAAAAAAATAAATCACTAGAATGAATAAAAGTATGGACCTCAATTAGAACAAGCCAAATAAAATTATTCAAAATTTGAAGTTCCGCCATAAAAAATCTAAATACTTTAGGCTTTGGTCGTAAATCGTAAGTAGATAGTCACCTTGATGACTATAAGGCCGATCATCTAAAAACACGAAGCGAGTGATTTACACAAGAGAAACCGCCATCGACGAGGAGATTGTCTCCGCTGATGTATCGAGCCTCGTTGCTGGTCAAGAACAAGACAGCATTGGCAACATCTTCAGCCTCTAGATCCACTCCTTGCAAATTAGCATTCTTTCCAATAAACTGACGAAAGCCTGTAATCACATCCTCAGTTCTTTCCTCTTCATGCAAGTGAGCAAAAGCCAAGGACGTTGGAACTGCGTAAGGCGACACACAATTCACACGAATTCCGTATTGTCCGAGCTCGGCTGCAACGCTTCTCGTAAGCCCCAGCACGGCGTGCTTCGAGCTTATGTAATGATGCGGTCCTATTCCCCCTATGACGCTACCGATGCTAGCAAGCGATATGATCGATCCTTGTTTGTTTGGAATCATGACACTAGCAGCATGTTTCATTCCCATGAAAACTGCCTTCACATTGATATCAAAAACCTTCTCGAACTCCGATACGTCGACGTTGCGAATATCGGATGTGGGTGTGCCTGAGATCCCAGCATTGTTCACCATTATGTCAAGTGTACCGAACTTACTTACGGTCGTGTCGACTGCACGACGAACGTCATCTTCCACAGTGACATCACAATGAGAATAAAAAGTGTTCGAGTCGTCGTTGCCACCAAGGTCTTCATGGAGACGACGACCCAGCTCGTCCTGCACATCGACGAAACAAACCTTTGCACCATGTCTGTGGAAGAGGCGCACAATGGCCTCACCAATGCCAGAGGCTCCACCAGTGACCAATGCCACTTTCCCTAATAACCTGAAAATGGTAAGAATCAATCAAGAGTTCATATCAATTTGAGACATTATTCATCGGTCGGATCATAACGAATAATACGACAATCGAACATATCGACGCATCAATACAATCAAAATCAACCAAATCTATACGATATAATCGACTCCGTTCGCCATTCGGGATTTGAAAGGCAACGGTAGCTTTAAAAATGACCATAAGCAAGCAGAACAATTAGTTACCAAATCCAACAAACAGCAAAGGGATCATTTTATTTGGTAACAATCAACAAACAGGACATGTTTCAAGAACAAAAAGAGTTCAAAAAGCTCATTTTTGTTGATATTCACGTGGTTAATTCCCCAATGAACCGAAGGCCAACCCGCAAAAAGTGACGATACTCAGAGTTCAAACACAAGATCTACACGTCTGATATCATGTTAAACCACAAATCAACCAAAAAGCTTAAACGTTACGATACTTATACTCTCAATCTAATTGTAACGGCCCAAACCCACCACTAGCAGATATTGTCCACTTTCGACTTTTCTATCCGGGTTTAGGCCGTTACACTAATAATCGTTACACTAATAATCATTTTGTTACTATTTCTTAGCTTCCTTGGATAGTTATTCATACAAAAGAAGAGGAATGGTAAAGTGGGTTTGATAAAGAACAACTTTTATAGTTCCTCTTTCCCATATGCCATGATTCGAAACATTACAGAACCTTAAAAGAATCAAATTCGATTTAGATTTATATACTCTTAAAGAATCCCAAGTTACTTCAAAAGGGAAACTATGAACCAAATGAAATCTCTCCAAAAACCCATCAAAACAAGCACTGAATTCAACCAAAAACAGAGTAAATCAACAACCCTTTTGAAACTGAAAAGAAAAAACAAAAGGGTTTCCATCAAAACTTCAAAATCCCAAAAGGGTCACAATTTCTGATCCAAAAACAAAACAAGCAAGCCCTTTTAAAAGACCAGATCCACAAGAACAAGAACAAGAACAGGAACAGGAACAAGAACAAGAACCGGAACAATCACCTCTGGGGTACGAGAGAAGAAGAAGAAGATTCAGCAGTGGCCATTTCTCGACTGTGTGTGAGTTTCTTGCAGAGAGGGCTGCATAGAAATGGAAGTTTGAAGACGTTTGTTCGTATGTGGGCGTGTCTAAATGGAAGGAAACGACAATTTGCACGTGGTTTAGACAGCTGATGTCGCCAACACACATAGCCAATTGGATATTTTAATGAGGCGTTGCAAAATCTTTCCTCTGTTCTTGGACTTTTCTCTTGAACCAAAATACGGAAGTTTGTTTGTTTTTCTTTACTTTTTAACCTGTCTCTTCCTTTCTAAGGATGTGAATTTTGGACTCTTTTAATGACCCTTCATCTCCTGAAGTGTTTTTTTGTCCGACATTTAAAAGTTTTAAAATCTTTCATTGTAAATGTCGAAAAGTAAAGAGATTCGAACATCTAAACCTTTAGTCAAGAGTATATTTTTGTTTAGTTGAGTTATTACGAGATCCCAGGTTGATTGAACGAAGGAACAAATGTATTTTATAGGGGTGTGGAAATTTCTCTATAATTGACGTGTTTTAAAATTGTGAGGCCGACGGTCATACATAATGGGTCAAAGCGAACAATATCTGCTAGAGGTGGGTTTGGATTGTGCAAATGATATCAGAGCTAAGCACGGGGTGGTATGTCAGCGAGGACGCTGGGACTGTGAGGGGGTGGATTGTGAGATTTCATATCGGTTGGAGAGGAGAACAACCATTTAGGGATGTTGAAACTTCTCCCTCCCTAACAAACCCGTTTTTAAATCGTGAAACTGACGTCGATACGTATCTTATAGGTGTTAAGGATAGTTGACCACCGTTTATTATAGATATTTTTCTTACATTACGGCTTGCTATATTTGCCGTTTTATTAAAGGCAAATACATTTATTCATTTGTTATTCTCTCTATTGTTCTTTTCATACTATTTGTAATTAATTGTATTTCTCTGTTCGATAAATGATTATAAATAGAAAATTTTCATCACCATTGAAATGGGGTGGTTTTAGCAAACATTTTCGATCGGATGTGGAAACGTCTCCCTAAGAGACGCGTTTTAAGATCATGAGGCTGACGGTGATACATAAGGAGCCAAAACGGACAATATTTGCTAAGGGCTTGGACTGATACAAATAGTATTAGAGCTAGCCACCGGACAGTGTACCAACGAGGACGCTGAAACCGTAAGGGAGGTGGATTGTGAGATCCCAAATCGGTTGGAGAGGGAAACAAACATTCCTTATAGGGATGTGGAAATTTCTCCCTAACATACGTGTTTTAAAACTGTGAGGCTGACGATGATATGTAACGAACCAAAGTGGACAATATCTGCTAGCCATAGGCTTGGGCTGTTACAGTTATGCTCAAGTTCAATCGAATAAAGTTAAGGTTTAGGGTTCAGGGTTTCGAAATCCTTCCCTCTAAATGTACAGAAGCAGATAAATTTGAACTTCTTAACTTTTGATCGAAAATATATATTTAATTAGTTGAGTTACGCTCAGGTTCACTCTAATATCATTTAGGATTCTTGATTTCTAAATCCATCACCGTATATATAAAGAAGCAGCGGAATTTGAACCTCTAAACTTTTGGCCGACAACCAGTAGCTAGGTAAGTTATGCTCGGGTCTCCTACAAATATGAAAGAAGATAGACAAGAAAGAAAATACGAGGAGTATTTTCTTATTAAAGAAGATATGATTTATTTTCGTATTTATATCAGTATCGACACAAGATTAGAATTCTAGCTCTTCTACAGTGGTATTTCACTGATGACTCGAGTCTTCTAGAAGAGGTAGGCTATTTCTTCGCTAAATTGCGTTTAATTTCATATGTGATGACGTTTTATCAAAGTTATCCACATAATGTCCTTGCCTATCAATGTCACAATAAATGTTGGATAAAGACGATTAAATTAATAAAATACTCATTTAAAAAATATTTTTGAATTTTAAAAAAGAACTAATACTTTAAAATTTTTTAAAAAATTTAAAAATGTTCGTACCATTATTTTCGAATGAAAACCGTTAACATTTTTAAAAACTTCATGAATATTAAAATCTTTTTTTTATATAAATGAAACATCTCCCAGTAGACGCACCAAAAAGCCTGGAGATGTACTTTGTTCGACACTTAGTCACGTTTGACTCTACTTTCGAGGATAATAATTTAGTAATCACGGATTTCTACAGTGGTATGATATTGTCCACTTTGAATATAAGCTATTCTCTAACCGATGTGAGATCTCACAGTCCACATCCTTGGGAACCCAACGTCTTCACTGGCACACCGCCCACTGTCCTCGTTGGCACACCACCTAGTGCCCGGTTTGATACCATTTGGAACAACTTAAACCCACCGCTAGTAAATATTGTCCGCTTATAAGAAATGATTCATTTTGATCTCCAACCAACGTGAGATCTCACAAAAATGCAACACTTTTATTTATTTATATTCACAATTTTTGTAACTATTTCTTCTACGAGAAACTATTAGTCTTTATTTTGGTTGAAATATCGTTTGTCCCTAAACTGGATTTCGTTCTATCTTAGTTTATATATTTTCATATGTCAAAATTAGGTCGTGTATATTACGATCTGTTTTTCGAGAAACTCGAGCTATAGACTATCAATTACTGACGTAAAATATTTGAAAATACACATAAATTTAAAACTTTTAAAACGTGCTCGACATTTGAGACCTAAATTACACCGACTCCATTTCTTTGTACTTCCTAATGAACCAATATATATATATATATATATATATATATATATATATATATATATATATATATGTATAATTTGCTTTATAAAAGCAAGGAAGGATATATCTTTCTTAAAGAACTAAAGTGGATATTAATTAAAAAGGAGAAAAAAAGAAAAAAAAGAAAAAAAAAAGTAACGGAAATGACATTTATTATTATTTATTTTAATTTTAAAGATAGAATATTAAAAGTTTATTATTATTTATTTTTTTAATTTGTCAATGATTAGGTTGAACCATCTTAATTATCAAATATTAGGAAAATAAAGGTGGAATGAAGATAAAAAAAATACAATAATAATAATAATAATAATATATTTATCTAAAAAATATTTTTTTTTTGTTTGCTAATAATAAAGTAGGAAAATACTTAAAACTTAAAAATTAAAATCCATAAACTTTAATTTTTTAAAAATAATTAATTTATTAAAGTGAAATCTAAAATTTTCAGACGCAAATTAATAATAATAAAAGATTTAGACTATTTTTATAATTTTAAAAATTTAAGGACGGAAGTTCGAATTTGAGGGACTAAATTTATAATTCGAACATTTATCTAAACTTCACAATTTCATTCTCATGCTTGTAATGATAACCTTTTCACAAAATATTTCTTTAAAAATTCATGTAAAAATAAATTTAATTACCAAATCAGATAATGTAATTATTACTGATTTTCAAATTTGAAATAAAAAAAAAGGAAAATCAGTGAAATATTGGTTACTTTTTTGAGTTGATGTGATGGGGAACACCATAATAACGTGGAAACGCACACACCAGAATTTGGCAGATTTTAAATTAATTTAAATTATAAATTAAGTCCTAATTTATTTAGTTAAGTTTAAAAATTATTTTTAAAAAAATGAAAGAACTCCAAATTTCCATTTTTTATTTTTTTTAAAGAAATGTGAATTCATAAAAATATTAAAGTTTAAAAATTATTTAATATTTTTTGATTGAATTATTTATTATTACTTTTTAAATTATTTTTTAATGGAAGTTCAAATAAATATTTTTTAATTAATATAATATATGAATATAAAATTGGGTTTTTGTCTCTTTCATCTTTATTTAAATTTGAGATTAAATATATATATATATAAAAAAAAAGAGATAAAATCCGGCTTTTATTTATTTATAAAAGAATAAATAATTATTAATTTTGGAAGAAGAGAGGAGGAGCGTGTGGAAATGGACCAGAGGCCCAAAAGTAGGGCCCACTAGCAGCCCACTAAAGCCGACCACTTGCCTTTCTTTTGTAAAGCCACCGCCCAATTCCGCTCCGTCAACAGTGGAATAATATCACGCATCAAATTAAAAGTATGACACGTGTCTTTTGTTTGTGAAATGACCATACTACCCTTCCTCCGTTAAACAACTAAAATTTTAATTTTAAAATATTGTAATTATGATAGTAGCCATTTATCAATTGTGAGATTGTAAAGAGACATTTTAAAACCGTGAGACTGATGACGATATGTAATGAGTCAAAGCAGACAATATTTGCTAATAGTGAGCTTGAACTGTTTCAAGATGTAAGGCTTTCCTATTATAACAGGTTGTTCAAAAGGATTTCTCGTTCTTCCATCAAATATTCTGCTTTTTCCTGGATACTCGAGTTCAAATACCCATGGACTCGCTGTTTGCTTACTGGCTTCATATAATTCGGAAAAGATTAGTTTTCTAGAAGCCTCTTGTTCATATCTCTCATCAAAAGGTACTATTCGATAATGTCTATCTAGCAAACTCCCCGCTAACCCGAGTGAGCACTCAAATATCTGTCCTACATTCATTCGTGAGGGGACTCCTAATGGATTGAAAACCATATAAGAGTTTGTCATTGACAGTGCGAGACACTAGTCGAAGCAGGACTAGATCCTTTCTACAGTAGATACGTGAAGCTGTCGAGCTATGCTTGAATAAATGCATCAGATTAAAAATAGCATAAAATTAATTAATTTATTGCTGGAATTGAATTATAATATGAACATTATGAATATTAATGTTGTGTTCAATTTTTTTTAAAAAAAAGAACATAAAAGTGTTGGTGATTATTCAAATCCATGGCGGTATATGTAGGCGCGAAGAAAAGCAAAGAATGGCCTAATCGATGGGAATGAGTTGAATTACTTGAAAGACAAGAAGAAGAAGAAGAACAATAACAAAGCAACTCAGAGTTCGAGTTCATATAAATTCACTTCAAACACTTTTTTCTTTTATTAATCCAAACGACGGAGAAATCCCACCCACTGTTCTTCCAAATCCTGGCCAATTAGAAAAGAATCCTCTGGGCTCTCTTTGCTTTTCGCGAATCTTCCTTTTAGAGCTCTCTTTGATATATAACTTTCCGAAAAGGGTATTGGGTTTCTTGTAGCGATTGAAAATTCCCCTGTTTTTGAGAGAAGAACGCATCATCGAATCAAACCATTTGGGAAGATGGTTCAGAGAATTGTGGCGAACAAATTTGGAGTTCAAAGTGGTGTTAAAGGGGAGAGGAGAGTTGCGAGCTTCAAAACTAGTTCTTCTTTTTGTTCTTCTGGTTCTTCCGCTCAAAACCCAGATGGCAAAAACAGAGTAGTTGATTTGAAGAAGAAGATGAAGAAATCACGAGCTATCCAGCTTTCGGATTTGGATATCAGCTTAACATCATCGCCGATTAGAAAGAACATATCTCTGCCTGGTAAACCGCCACCGATTTGTTCGAATGTTTCGGAAATCAAGCAGAAACAGAATCAGAATCAGAATCAGCCATCCATGATTAGAACCAGCGATGGTTCGCCGAATTACATGAAATCCACGAGCTGTTTTGATGCAAGGAAAGAGGTTTCTCAGGTGAGTTCTCGAATTTGTAGTGATATTAAGAAACCCAGAAGGAGGAGTTTAGAGAATTCTGCTCATGGCTCTGTTACTGGCCTTAAGCCTACAAGGTGTTTGACAAAATGCTCCAGTGAAAAACTGGTTAGGACTTTGACAAAGACGCCTAGTTTTAAGAAGTCCTCGAGGGTGGCTCTGTGTGCAGATATGAATTCTCATAGAGCTACCTGTTCTTCCACTCTTAAAGACTCTAAGTTTCCAGCATACCTCATGCTGAGCCATGGGGCTACTGAGTCTGAAGGAACTTCAACCATGAAAGTTTGTCCTTACACTTACTGCTCGCTTAATGGCCATAGACATGCTCCGGTGCCTCCATTGAAGTGTTTCTTGTCTGCAAGGAGACGTTTGTTGAAGACCCAGAAGAATTTAAAAGTTGAGCCATCTGGTTGTGGAGTGAAAAGGGTTGATAATGCTGGTGGGGAAGTGCTAGATGAAGATATGATCCCGGAAGTTTTGGTAAACGATGGTGGGTTGGATTTTTTCATTGAAATTTTTTCTGAAAATAAGGTTGAGGGTGCTGGATCAGTCAATAGGGTAATGAATGAAGATTGTGCTGGTGTTTCATGTTATGACGTGCGTGATGAAGCGGAGTTGAATGGTGAAGGAGACAGTGAACCGGTCGTAGAGAACATCTCCGATGGATCCATGGACTCTGAGGTTGGTTTAGGTGAAGATAGTGCTGGATCAGTCAATCTACATAGCGTAATGGACGGAGATTGTGCTGGTGTTTCATCTTATAACGTGCGCGATGAAGCGGAGTTGAATGATGAAGGAGATAGCAAACCGGTCGTAGAGAGCATCTACGATGGATCCATGGACTCTGAGGTTGGTTTAGGTGAAGATGGTGCTGGATCAGTTAATCTAGATAGCGTAATGAATGGAGATTGTGCTGGTGTTTCGTCTTGTAACGTGCGCGATGAAGCGGAGTTGAATGATGAGGGAGATAACAAACCGGTCGTAGAGAACATCTCTGATGGATCCATGGACTCTGAGGTAACCGAAGGAATCTTCTTCCATGGTGATGAGTATGAGGACAATACCAGTTCGACCGATACCGATATGGAAGAGTGGGAGGAGCAACAGTTCTTGAGCATGGAAAGTGATGGTTTGGATGAGCTTGAAGATCAATCAGAAGAGACTCATTTGCAGAATGGAGAACTTGCTGGATTTGGAACAGAGAAACAGCTCCCGGACAATGATCTCGTCTTACAAGAGGAATTACTCGATGCCGATATCGATACGGATACCGATACTAATACCGATAATCAAATAGACAGCCAAGAAAAGCTTGATGATTCAAACCATGGAGATGAGGCTGAAAATTCTGTTCAAGAAAATTCTAACCAATCTCTAGAAGCTCACTTGTCTGATGAACAATGCCAAGATATCTCTGTCACTGAAACATCAGCAGTCCTGGAAATCACAGGTAATGAGGAGCTTAGTGATTTGAAGATGCAAGAAACTTCTTCGAACGATAACAGCATCGTGCCAGTCGACATCGTGGAAGGTAAAGAAGCAGCAAAGTTATCCCGCACCGCAGTCGACTCGAGCCAAGAACTTGATCTTTGGAGCAAGAACTGGGAAGTGAATCCAAGAAGCAAAAGGGTAGGAGAAGAATCAGAAGATCCAAGGAGCTTCAATCCACGAGAACCCAATTACTTGCCATTGGTGGCAGACCCGGAAGCAGAGAAGGTAGATCTCAAGCATCAGCTGATAGATGACAGGAAAAATGCAGAAGAATGGATGGTTGATTACGCGCTCCGACGAACCGTCACGAAACTCGCCCCAGCTAAAAAGAAGAAGGTGGCGCTGCTCGTCGAGGCTTTCGAGTCAGTCATGCCGACAACATCGAGATACGAATTCCATGTTCGGAATCATGCTTCTCGAGCTTTTACTCCGGCCAAACGCATTCAAGCTTGTTTTTGATGGTAGCAGTAGAGGTAAACCTCCAAACTCCATCTTACAAAGTTCATTCAACTTGGTTGTAGTGTTGAACTTGGTTGTATGTTTAGGATGTTAGAGAAGCTAGATGAACTAATTTTGAGGTCTAATAGGAGTGTGACGATACTAAACCGTGTTAGAACGACATCTAAGTACAGTTGAAGGAGAACTCGGTCATTCAACTTTAGCTAGCTAAAGAAGGAACGAATCATGTCACTCGACGTTATGACGTCGTGGCAGGGAGATTATCTGTGCTTCCATGCATCCCTGTTGATGAACTACTAGGTTTGGGAGTTTGTCATTGTGTGTCTCCTAAATGCATCTTCATTCATAGGATGTAATTTGTGTGTGGTTGTGATGAAGGTGTACAATCAAAACCTATGCTAATCTCATGAACTTTCTTTTAATCATGTAAGTCAAAATGAAATCTTGTTCGTGGAGCCGGATAAATTCAAACATCTAACATCCAGATCGAAGACATTCATTAATTAGCTGAGTTATGTTCAAATTAGTTAAAAATCATTATTTAGATGATTTCGACCGCTCACTCTAGTTCGACCTATAGAAAAGATCATGAAAGAAGCGATCAAAATGGTACTCAAATCCATTTACGATTCGAGTTTCAGATACATTGTACTTCCACTCAGGGCGAGGCCGCCACTTGGCCCTTAGACGGATCATAGAAGAGTGGGGAACCTCTCGCTGGTTTTTGGAATTCAATATCAGGAAGTGCTTTTACATCATTGATCGATATCGACTCATCTCAATCTTGAAGAAAAAGATCGATGATTCCAAGTCCTTTTACTCCATTCAGAAACTCTTTTCGGCCAAACAACTTGTAGGAGGTGAGAAGGGTCTTTACTATCCCGTCCCACACAGTGTACTACTATCGGCCCTACCAAACAACATCTACCTACACAAGCTCAGTCAGTAAATAGGGAGGATCCGAGAGAAGTATGAAATCCCGATTTATCCATCAAATGTTATTTAAATTTAATCAAATATTTCATCTCTCACTCAAGATAATTCATCTTCAATTAGGTTAAAGTATAACCGTCTAATAAATTTTGTAAAATTTTAATGATTATTAATTTATTATATTACATGTCGACTTAGTAAACATATTTATCATAGGACAGACAATCGAGTATATTCACATTTTTTTTAATTCAATAATAAAATTTAATTTAATTTTGTTTATAAAAATATATGTGTTTCTCATTATCCAATCATACACAAATAAAATCTAATCTTAAATGAGAGAAAGAAACAAACAAGATGTTTACCATATTATATCATCCATTTTAGGGTTATTAGTGTTAATCTCTTTTTCTAAATAAGTCAACGGAAGGATTATATGCAACTCGATTTTACTCTCGAGTGAACTGTGACCTCTTGTTTCTAAGAAATTGACTTTTGATTTGCATGGTTACGAGTAATTTTTATAGCTAATTCAATAAGTCCACCGTTTTAGAGATCTAACTAAATAGGAAGTTGAAAACATAAGTTTCACCGGATGAATTTACTCCAATATAGTAAAAGTAAATTCTTTGAACAGTAGAATCTCACATTTTTACTGGCTTAATCGAATCAATAATACGTGAAATAAAATGTAATTACGAGAGCAAGAAACAATTATAATTATAAATAACTCATGAAGTGTTGAATTCTATATAATGATTATATCCACGAACAATTTGTTCAAAAATGCATAAAAATACAATTTTAGGCTTACGGTAGATTGACTGAGCTAATTAATTTAATTAATTAGGTAAAAAATCTTAATTAATTAATTTTGTACTATAATCTATAAGATCTCGTTGTTTGTTTGTTCCTAGTAACAAAATAATAATAATAATAATTATTATTATTATTGAAATACTTTTATACATTTAATTGGATAAGATTATTTTTATTTTATTTTAATTTATCCTTTTTTTTTATAAAAATAAAAAATAAAAACCATAATAAATAAAATTGATTTAAATAAAAATAAATTAAAAAATTAAAAAATTAAAAAATAAAATTATTATTGGAACATGTTTTAAGTCTTAAATTTATGGATTAAATTTTATATGGATTAAAAATTTGTGGAGGAAAAAATAATAAAATAGTAATCCACGTGGCAGCATGTGCAAACCTGTAACAACAACTTACCATACTAAAAAAAATAAAATAAAATAATAATAAACTAAGCTTACCTTATTTATATTAAATTTTTAATTAATTTCATCCAATAACAATAATTCATCTTTCACATGATTAATATGAATAAATCCTTAATAGAGCGAACTAGACCAAACCGAGCAATGTGACCAAACTAAACCGAACTCGACCCGTGTCAACTCCTTTTGTTTCTTCTTCATTCTCGTCATTTCGTAATTGTTGCACACAGTTTGTAAGTCTAATTAGACTATGCAACAAGCGTCGTGCTACTATTCTCAATCATCTTGTGTTGTGGTCACTTGAGTTCACTCGTCAACATTTAGTTATGAAGAAAACACCCATTACCCGAGCAAGGAGAGGAGGAATTAGAGCTACTTGCTCGTGCTTATGCCTCTCCAACAACTCCAATGTAACAACTCGAAATTTTCTACTTAATTTAGGGTCGTTACATCAAAAAACCATCAATCCAAGACGTCGGAGGACTTCATTGAAGAAGAAGAGGATCGTGTGGATCGATACACAGGGTCGCCAAAGGACACACTCGAGTTGCTTCCATAAGACCGCTACATACCGCTCATCAATATTGCTAGCTATTGTAGGATGTGTCACTAGTGATAATTTTAATTAGTCCTTTTTTTTCATTAAAATTTAAAATCTAAAATAAATAAATTAATTAATTAAATTAGTATTAAATTAAAAAACTAAATTATTAGTTAAAAAAGAAGAAAAAAACAGAACCAAGGGAAGTAAAAAGTTAAAAACGGCAATGGTAAAAAAAGCGTTAGGCGCATATGGAAAGGCAATGTGTGATGGCCATTGGGAATCGGAGTTTGTTGAGGAAATAAAAGGGAATCCATTCAGAATATAATCTGCACTGTTCTCCTCTGTGTTTGGCGGCCGAGAAAATAATCTCTCTGCAACTTTCTCTGCCGAGAAAATATGAGTCCCGGAAGGAAAATTCTGGGGCTTTTCTTGGTCGGAATCTTCATCGGAACCGTAACCGGACAAACTGGATGTGATCCGTACATCGGAAAATGGGTATTGGATTCGGCTTATCCCTTGTATAACTCCTCGGAATGTCCCTTCATTAGGAAGGAATATGATTGTGTCAAATACGGCCGTCCCGATCGCCGCTACCTTCAATTCCGGTGGCAGCCTCTCCACTGCGATTTGCCCAGGTTTTCTCTCTCTCTCTCCTCTTTCTCTCTCTACAATTTTAAATTTATTGTTCGTTTTTTTTTTTGAATATTAAGAAAAAAAAAAAATACTTTTTGTGATTTTTTTTTTGCCTTTTTGGAAAAGTAGAATCCTTTATTGAGTTTAGAGATGTTTCGTGGAATAAGGATGGAAAAGACTTCCTCGTCCACGTCCGACCACCTATTTCCGTCCCTATTCTTACAAAAATTTTCGTTTAGATTTGGGTTGGTAATTACTCGGGATTGGGTTGGTAATTACTCGGGAACGAGGTCTGCCCGTGGAATTTTCTTTTTCGATTATGTTATATATATATATATATTGTATATTTTATTCTCATTAATAATGTTACTAAAATTTGTATTTTAGTATCAACCGTCTATTTATTTTTATAATAATAAATAAATAATTGGAGCCGTCTATTTATTTTTATAATAATAAATAAATAATTGGAGTAGTTCTATTTATTTTTATAATAATAAATAAATAATTGGAGCAGTAGACGAGAAAGGGACATTTATTATCGGTCTCTATTCCTGTTTAGCTAACGAGGAGAAAACTGTCAATTGATATCTGTTAGATGAAAATAATAATTGATTTAATTAAAATGTTATTAATTATTTAATTTTTGGAACTTGTTACCTAAGCCATAGTTTTTTTAATTTAAAATTTGTAGCACTATAGGAACAATATTATTGTGTGATTGAAATTATTATTATTCACGTGTTGTGATATGATTTTTCTTATAAAAAGAAAAGGAATAATAGGTTTAAATAATTCTTTAACAAACTCATCCAATGAGGAGGCTTTAAAAAAACCAATTTAAAATATTTAAGAAACAAACTATTATTTATTATTATTTAATGGATCCGGTTGGTTTGAATTGGATTAGATTTATTTGGTTTGAATTGGATTAGATTTATTTTTTATTATTTAATCGGATTAAATTTTTAAAAAACCGATAATTTTGGTTAAGTTTGAGAGTTTTTTCTTTAGTCTGGCTAACCCAAAAAGAGGGTTAACCCGATCACAATCTGGCTAACCCAAAAAGAGGGTTAACCCGATCACAATCTGGCTAACCCAAAAAGAGGGTTAACCCGATCACAATCTGGCTAACCCAAAAAGAGGGTTAACCCGATCACAATCTGGCTAACCCAAAAAGAGGGTTAACCCGATCACAATCTGGCTAACCCAAAAAGAGGGTTAACCCGATCACAATCTGGCTAACCCAAAAAGAGGGTTAACCCGATCACAATCTGGCTAACCCAAAAAGAGGGTTAACCCGATCACAATCTGGCTAACCCAAAAAGAGGGTTAACCCGATCACAATCTGGCTAACCCAAAAAGAGGGTTAACCCGATCACAATCTGGCTAACCCAAAAAGAGGGTTAACCCGATCACAATCTGGCTAACCCAAAAAGAGGGTTAACCCGATCACAATCTGGCTAACCCAAAAAGAGGGTTAACCCGATCACAATCTGGCTAACCCAAAAAGAGGGTTAACCCGATCACAATCTGGCTAACCCAAAAAGAGGGTTAACCCGATCACAATCTGGCTAACCCAAAAAGAGGGTTAACCCGATCACAATCTGGCTAACCCAAAAAGAGGGTTAACCCGATCACAATCTGGCTAACCCAAAAAGAGGGTATTTTATAAGATTTTAGTGATTAATGGTGTATTATTGATAAATATATATTTTTAAATATTTAAAAAAAAAACTAACCACCCAACTCAATTTCAAACCCAACCCGACCCGACCCGTGTAGAACTCTATTTTTAAATAGAGGGTTGAGTTGGGTTGTGAACTCTATCCGGATTGCTCGGATCACAATCTCAACCAACTTAAAATTTAAGGTACCGCTCGGGTTACCAACCCAACCAAAACACATGATTCCCAAAAAACTCGTAATTGAACCTAAAACGAACCTAAAAAGGCGTTTTTTAAGAACACGAAAATGAATCTAAGTAGTTTTTGAATGGATGAACACAGATTTGATGGAGAAGAATTTTTGAAGAGATTTAGGGAGAAGAAGATAATGTTCGTTGGAGACTCCATAAGCATAAACCAATGGGAATCTCTTCTATGTATGCTTCATGCTGCTCTTCCTGACGCCACCGTCATCCAACAGTCCAATGAAACCTTTCGCTCCTACACATTCAAGGTTAGTGCATCCCGTACGTGTAACTTGACTTGTAGCGGTGTTTAAAAAAAATCAGATGACTCGAAAATTTGATCAATTCAGTCCAACTAGTACGGTCTAAGATGGGTTTAAAAATTTACGATCTAAACAATTGGGTTTGGTCTTAAAAAGCGTCCCAACTCAATCTAAACAGTTGAGTTTGGGAAACGTTTAACCTTGAGGAAGGTAGATTTAAAACCGTTGGCTGTCAGGACCTACAAAAAATGCTATCAAAAGTCTACGACAGTGCTCGTTAACTTTCATGTTATAGTATGTAATATATTTTTGTTCACGAGAATGATCGATTTTTGCCCGCCGCAGGAGTATGGAACTTCGGTGATGCTATGTCTAAACCATTACTTGGTGGATATTGAAGAGGAAGACATTGGAAGAGTTTTGAAGCTTGATTCATTGAAATCTGGTGATCTATGGAAGGAGATGGATGTTTTGATCTTCAATACTTGGCTTTGGTGGAACCGTAGACAACCGGGTCAACCGTAAGCTAAATTCCTCTCGCTTTTAGGGTTAGCAAGTCGAAATCGAGCTAGTCGATTCGTCAATTTGTATTAGATAAATTTTTTCAATTTCAATTGATTCAGTTTAGTTTTTATTAATGTCTTAAGTCGGTACCTTAATAGGTAAGGTCAACCATAAGCTAAATTCCTCTTGTTTTTAGGGTTAGCAAGCCGAGCTCGTCAGTTCGGCTTTAGATGCATTTTTTCAATTCAGGTTAACGGATAAGGTCAACCCATAAGCTAAATTCCTCTTGCTTTTAGGGTTAGCAAGCCGACATCGAGCTAGTGATTCATCAGCTCAACTTAGATACATTTTTTCAGTTTCAATTGGTTCGGTTTAGTTTCTATTAACGACTTAAGTCGATAGGTTAACGGATAAGGTCTACCATAAGCTATATTCCTCTTGCTTGTAGGGTTAGTAAGTCAAAATCGAGCTAGCGATTCGTCAGCTTGGCTTAGATACATTTTTTTAGTTTCAATGGGTTCGGTATAGTTTATGTTGGCCCTTAACAGGTAAGATCAACTATAAGCTAAACTCCTCTTGCTTTTAGAGTTAGCAAGCCAAAATTGAGCTAACGATTCGTCAACTCGGTTTAGATGCATTTTTTTCCAGTTTCAATGGGTTCGGTTTAGTTTATATTGACGTCTCAAGTCGATACGTGAACGGGTAAAAATCGACTCGAGATGACGTAGGTACGTAAAGTTTTGTATTTTGTGCAGATGGGATTACATTCAAATTGGGAACGAGAGAGTGAAGGACATGGATAGAATGAAAGCTTTTGAGCATGCATTAAGAACATGGGCGAAATGGGTTGATTCAGAAGTTGATACACACAAAACCACCCTCTTCTTCCAAGGAATTTCTCCCACTCATTACAAGTACATATATTTCAATATCTTTCCCTTTTATTTTATTATTATTTTTTTCATTTGGATTTATTTATTTTTTTCCGCTAAATTAATAAAAATACCTTTAAATTTTGCATTATATCTAAAACGTTTCAAAAATACTTTAATTTTGGATGAAAACCACATTTTGTTTTAAAAAAGATCCGAACATTTTTATCCAAATTTATTTATTTATTTATAAAGATTAAAAGTACTAATGTTATTTTTACTATTCATTGATTTTCCGAACACATTCAAAGAAAAAACGCAACAGTTAAGAAGTTTTTTTTCTTGTGAACGCATGACTTGAACTCATTTCCTTTAATTTTTTCTCGACAGTGGCAAAGACTGGAACGAGCCGGGAGTAAAAAATTGTGGGAACGAAACAAGTCCAGTAGCGGGATCAACATACCCAGGAGGTTTGCCAGCAGCATCATTCACACTCCAGAAAGTATTGAATGGAATATCAAACCCAGTTCACTTGCTCAACATAACAACTCTGTCTCAGCTTAGAAAGGATGCTCATCCAGGCACCTACAGTGGCCTTAGAGAAATGGACTGCATACATTGGTGCATTGCTGGCCTTCCTGATGCTTGGAATCAACTTCTTTATGCAGCTCTAATTTCCTAGAACACATGCAATTATTATTACATAACAATTGTATGTGTTTCCAGCTACGGGTTTGTAAGAACCCTACAATAAGACTACTACTATATGCAAGCTACAACGGTTTTATGTCAAAAAGAACACTCATAGATGGAAACGTTATTAAACTATCTTAACAACGGAGTTATTATAGAAATGTAGATAACTATCTTCCATGGTCTATCTTAACAACGTAGCTATTACAGAAATGTAGATAACTATCTATCAATGACTTTATTCTATGGTCTCTTCGACTGACCCCGTCATTCATATATGGAGCCCTTGTCTTTAGGGCTTCATATACGTGTGGAAAAGGTAGAAATGTGTACTCTCAACTAAGAGCTTAGAGTTCAAATCCCCCATCTCTCATGAACAAAGATCTTATTTCTCGAATAAGTCCAACCATTCACGGTTTTGTCCCACCTTGAATGATGACATTTTAAGGTGGTTTACCATTTGGTACATAGTTTCATAAACTATTGAATGGTAAAAACATCTGCTCTTTTAAAGTTTAAGGACTTAATAGCCTAACGCTCGAAGAAAGTAACGAGACTAAACTTATGATGCAACCTTTTTCGGAGGAGTCGGGAACTGGGTATGGGATCAATAGCTGTTAGCAGTCGTACAAATTACAGCCCTCAGTTAAGAAGAAAATGAAACGACCCATTAACAGAGATGGCTCTTTATTGAGTAATGATATTATGGTAAGTTCTGGAAACAGAGAACCAGAAAGAACAAATCTATACAGAAAGACAACAAGACTCTTAACAATTGATACATATAACTTGTGGTATCATATATATACACAAAGGTGAATTGATGAAAGACTTGTAATAAATTTCAATCTACTTGTAGTAGTGAATCTTACATGATCTGTGTGACGAGACGATTCTACTCGTTCCGAGTACACGACCCCGACGAACACGATTGTACTTCCAGCATCCAGTTTGCATCTCTTTTTCAACGAGGCTGGTGAATGAACCTTGGAGTGTGTTTGGGGCTCCTGCACTTGGCTGACTTCTCACTGTACTTTGCAGGACAAACTGGAGCCTTTGGAGATCTTGGAATGACTAGATCCTCCAATAATCTTTTGGCATCCATTTCATGGCTTGCACCTATCAAATTCCAATATGGTAAGGTCAGGATCTTGTGCTCAAATTATACTTCTTTTATGAACAAGATTAAAGGCACACCTTTTATGAGATTCTTAGGAGCGGTTGGTTTGATATCAGGCTTCTCATCTGCTTCAGTTGATTGAACCATAGCCTCAAACTCCGCCTCTTCCAGATCAAGAAACTCTTCTTTAGTGACTAAATCATTGGTACTGCTGTCGAAATCATCTTCCTGATGTTGGCTTAACCAGTAGTACTGGAACCACGGCGACGTCGTGACAAGTTCCCACCATTCTGGAGAGAAATCCTCGACGTTACGAAGAGCAAACGGAACGAAGATTGGAGCATTGGGGTTCAATGAAAAACTTCTTCCAGACAATAATGTCATCCTTACTCTAGATTATCCAATTCTTTCAACCAACAGCAGTTCTAAGAGTCTTAACAGACCACAAACCTGGAAAAAGTTTGGATATGAGATACTTGATTGACTAAACAATCATGCTAACTAAGGTATGCAAAGAGTGTTTAATTGAACATAAAACTAAAAATATAGCAATCTTTCTCTTTTAATTAGGCAGAAAACAAAAAGAAACCTGTCTCTAAAAGGGAGCTATAAGCTTGATGAACTTCGAATGAAAAGCACGATATAGAAAGTTCTTAAGAACTTCAAAGAACAGAGACTAAATTCTCAACAGAGTGGTAAATCTATTTACTGTCGTGTCCTTAAAGCCAGGCGCTCGAAGAACAATCCAATTACATTTTGCTTTCTCTTATTGAGAATACAAGATCATACCAATGAACGGGGATTTGATTGGATTTAGTTCATAAGTATTTTGAGTCATTCGGTTCTTAACGAATTAAAACCCTAACGAGTTAAAAATTACATCGATCCGAAGATCCAATCCCTACACAAATGATATTAAAACGATCATTCAAAGAAAAAGAAGCAAACAAACATAGATACAGGAACAATAATCGAACTGTGTTCAGTTTAATCGCACGCATTAGCATCAAACAGAGCATCATTCCAATTTCAAATTACAACAAACACTCGACAGAAACCCTAAATGAAAACAGAAGCAGAATCGTCAAGATTTGAAACGATAGTTCTTGTTACCGTTACTGTGAAGAAGAGAGAGCTTTGTCGGAGTGATCAATGAAATGGCAAGAAGAAAACAAAGAAGAAGAAGAAGAAGAAGAAGAAGAAGAAGAACCGAAGCAGAAGGTTAGGGATTGCCGAAGCTGAGGCTCGGATATGGCTTTTGAAACTGCTTTTATGAAAAGCGAAACATAATGAACGGTTAGGATGGTGGTGAGGGGAATTGATCGGACGGCTGTAATGAGGTAACGGGAGAGATATTTTTGATTCGGTGTAAAGCACAAGCAATGATTGGGGGCAGTGCTTAAATAATGTTTGGCCCTACTAATCCTTTGCCAAATGTCATCAATGGCCTCCTAAGGTTCGGTTACAACCCTCAGCTGGTTCGGTTACAAGGCTAGGCTGTTTTGATAACGTTCTCGTTTCCTATTTCTTAATTTGTATTCATCGGTTTAAAACTAAAAACAAAACCCTATTCGAGAACTGAAAACAAAATAAACAAAATCATGTGTTCAGTCCAAATTGTTAGATGAACACGACTCTTTACAATGGTATGATATTGTCTGCTTTTGAGTATAAGGTTTCATGACTTTGCTTTGGAATTTTCCAAAACACCTCATACTAATGGAACGAGTATTCTTTGATTATAAACTCATAATTGTTTCCTAAATTAATCGACGTGAGACTTTCATCATTCAACACGAACAACATAGTATGCCTAATGACATTGACTGTGAGTTCGTTATAGTTCTAAAAGTTTGATTTAGGTAAGATTGTTTAACACATTTTTAATAGATATATGAGCACAACAACACCACAAACTGTTTCTGTATTAATTTTATATCAATATGCCTAACAAGAAAACAATCATCGGAAGGCACTTTGTCTATCCCAGTTTGGCAAGGAATGCTCAGAATCAATGCTCAAATCCTTACTGAGAGTTCTGCTTGATCTCGTAGGCCCTGGAAGCCCCTTCAACCCCGGCGACCTCTGCTGCTGAAGCCCCCTTCTGCCCCTGCTAATTCCGACCTCACTCGCCGTTGAAGTCACCAAACAGAGCGGCTTTGTCTTGCACGGCGAGTTCCCATCGGAGCAGCTGTCCAATCCCCCTGCTGGCCTTAGCTTGGGGGAGCTCAAGGATCTTGCTTTTGCCTTTGCAGATTCAGTGGCCGCCATGTATGCTGGCACCAGTGGGGAGCTTGAAAATGAGCTGTTTGAGTCTATTCCGCCCCCCAGTGAACGCTGCTTCTTGTGGTGGGACAGTTTTTTCAGAGCTGGATTTTGATATGGAGATTGGTTGGGGAGTTCTTCTGTGTTTTTTGTTGGTGGGTTTGGATTTGAGGTGAAAATGGAGTCCAAATCTTCGAGTTCTTTGCTTTTGGAGAGCTGGGTGTCCACCCATTGGTCTAGCCAGTATCTCCATCTTCCTCTTACCTTCTTTCGCTCGGACTCTGTAGACCTCTGCAAAATGTGGAGGTGTTAGGATCAAACGACAACACACACTCGATCTAGATGAATACAAAGAACAGAAGAGCAAATGCAAGGATCGCACAACAACGCACGCACTTGTTCTAGATGAACACAAAGAGCACACACTTGATCTAGATGAACACAAAGAGCATACACTTGATCTAGATGAACACAAAGAATAGGAGAGAGAAATATTGGCTAAATTTTTATATTGATAACTTCATATGTACAGTAAGAGAGTATATAGAGAATGCAGAAAATACATTTTCGAAGTACTAGGTGCTATATATATGGTTCGGTTATCTACTATATATATATATAATTATCTACCATATATAACTTTTTACGATACATACCAACAATTTCCTCTATGTCATTTACCATATATAGTTTTACTAATGAAAGTGTTTGTTTTATAAAGGGTTGATTAGTACTATTTACCCTGTGGGCGAACAAGTATTCCTTGACTCGCTCTCTCCTTACCACTGCTTCTTTTCTGCTACAAAACACTGCATCGGCTTCTTCTTTTGATAGTAGGCTGTCATCCCACCTTTGATCGTTGGAATCCAACTTCAAAATCAATGAACAATGGAAAAAGTGAATAAGAAAACAATAGTCCTACTTTCATTAGAAATGGAGATCTTACGAAGAGTTTGATGTAACAGTCCAAGCCCACAGCTAGCAAATATTGTCCTCTTTGGGCTTTTCCTTTTAGGCTTTTCTTCAAGGCTTTTAAAACGCCTCTGCTAGGGAGAGGTTTCCACACCCTTATAAATAATGTTTCATTCTCCTCCCCAACCGATGTAGGATCTCACAATCCACCTCCCTTCGGGGTCCAGCGTCCTTGCTGGCACACTACCTCGTATCCACTCCCCTTCGGGTTTGCATATCGCCCGATGTTTGGCTCTGATATCATTTGTAATAGTCTAAGTCTACCGCTAGCAGATATTGTCCTCTTTGGGCTTTCCCTTCCGGGCTTCCCCTCAAGGTTTTTAAAATGCGTCTGCTAAGGAGAGGTTTCCACACTCTTATAAAGAATGCTTCGTTCTCCTCTCCAATCAATGTAGGATCTCACACATGCTAAGCCTATGAAACGACTTGTTGTCTCAATTGGCTGTATTAAGAAACAGTAATATCATCAAACCAACCAGTTCTTAACAGAGTTGATCAATCAATATAGCTATACTTTGATTTGGCCTACCTTTATGATCCTATCTCTCAAGCTCTGAAACTGCTTCGTTTCAGGAGAATTGAAAGTGTTTTGAGGAGGGTGAAGCCTATTTGAATAGACTTGTGATTGTATGCTAACGATGGACTGCAAGCACTTCAAAGTGGCAATGGCTTGGCGCCTAACAGCTCTCCCTCTAATAATTGCTTGTAGCTTCACTATTCCTTTCAGTGCTCTCAATGCCTTTCTCGCCTGCAAACTTACATTATTTACTTAATGATTCAAATATCACTGCGTGGAACAAGGCTGGAGAATCAAATTGTATACCCAAGTTAGGAAAGAGTTCTGATATTCCCTTCCTCCTGTTTCTAGTCTTTTAGCTCATGAGTATCATATTCATCCAAAAGACTAAGTTCTTGAATGATTCTTCCTTAAAAAGAAAAGATTAGAGTCCAAGATTTGAAATCTAGCTCCATGGGTTCTACTTTTTTTAGCTCAGACAGTAACAGTACCAATTTGTTTCAGCATGTTCATTCTTATTCCATTGAATTAAATGAGAAAGTATGGTCAGAAAGTACTCACAAGGAAGCCACGGAAAGCGGTTTGGATAGTAATAGCAGCAAACTCATGGATTTCCCTTTCACGCCTAAGAAGATCAGATGGAGGGGCCTTCTTGAGAGGCTTAAAGGGTTCTTCTGCAGCATTTTGTTGATGAGATTGAGGGGTCCCTGTGAGCCACACAACCTCAACAGCAGCCTTAGCTGCTGCAACTGCCGCTTCGGCCGCTGCGGTAGTCGCAATGGCCACAGAAAGAGCCTGTTTCCTCTCCTCCTCCTCCTCCTCTTCTCGTCTCATCGTCGCTTTTGATGGCGACGGCGCTGTCAGTGTGGCTAGTCTCTTGTTCCTCATCCTTCCAAACACCCATTTCCACCTCTTTTGCTTCTGTAAAAACAACATTTATTGGCATTGATGATTAGTTGAAGACATGTTACAAAATCAAGCAATATATCCATCCATCTATCTTTACCTTCTCAGGCTTTGTCTGTGTCTCTGAAACGAAAAGCTTCTTGACTAAATAAAACCAGCCCTTCTTGTTGCCCATTTGAGAACACCAGCAAGCAATCAATGAGCAACGGAAATAGAATAGTAACTAAACTAATCTCAATCCCAACGTTGAGAAAATATTCGGTTCTAGAACAGATGAAAATAAAACCAGAACCCCATTTGCAGAAACACAAAAAGTTGTCCAAGTAACACAAAAAATGAATCAAGGGTCCTTCAAAATTCAATCCCAATTACAGGAAAAATTAGAGGAAGCCATTGAAGAACCTTCAAAAGGGAGCTTGAAGCCATCAACAGGAGAACACAATGGAGGAGACATTTCATTGAACACCTTGTAGGCAAAAAAACCCAGAACCAGAACCAGAACCAGACCCAGATCTTCCCCAAATCATCAGAAACTCTGAAAGACAAGAATCAACTGAGAGAAGAACTGAAACAAGAAGAACCCAAATGGACAAAACGTGAAAAGACGTCAACTCAATACTTTCATGTTTTGTGAATTCATGCGTTCTTAGCTCTTTGAGATGAGTTTGAATTGCTTGCTTCCAGTTTTGTGGGCCTTTCAATCACAAATTGTGAAAAGAAAAAGAGTGGCAGAGGACTGAGAGGTCTACCTTTTGTGGGAACCCTTCAGTGGGTTCTTGAGAAGAAAAAAATCCTTGTGACTTCTAATGGGTCCTCCCATTCCTTTGTCACAGCCTTTACTTTTCCTCTCAAATGCATCAAACATATTCAAATGCCTGTTGGGTACCAAATTACTGAATTGCCTCTTCATTTCAATCAATTTATCAACTTTCCATTTTGGATTGATAGCTTTAAAAACTATTTTTTTTCTTTTTTCTTTTTATTTGGGTTGTGTTAAATTTTTGAAAAATTAAAAATTAGAGTTGGCTTTTGGGTTGACATTTTTTCTATTGGGTCAACTCGACCCACCTGAAAATAAGGTTACAACTCAACCCTACCCTACCTCACCCTATTCCAAAGATTATTAATAAACATTAAGAATATTTGACATTTATAACTGTTAGTGATAGGTTATCACCCGTAAATGTAACATACACCGTGAATAAGTATGATTTTTTTAAAATAATAATAAATAAATAAAACTTAACAACCTAATCCAACCACCCTGTATTTTTCAGCTGGTTGAGTCATCACTCCACCCAACCAAGATTTTAGATTGGTTCAAAAGATTTTTCTACTCTAACTCATCAGCTCGTATGCACTTTTTTTTTTTTTTTTACAATTTTTAAAATTTGATTTAAATTTTAAAAACGCTCCTAAAAATAAATAACAAAACCAAAAAAGATTATGGTGGAATAAAGTAATATTTATTTTTTTGGGGTTATTTAGAAAAATTATAATTAATATTTATAAATAAATAAATAACAAATTCATGGATTTAAAATGGTTCTCAAAACAAATAAATAGTACAAAGTGGAAACAGTATTTTATTGTTTTTATTTGTTTTTTAGTACTTTCTAAGCTCTATATTCTCCTATTATTTACTACTTTTCATTTTCTTTTTATAATTTTAACTTAATTTTCCAAAAATAATTTTTTATTTTTTATTTTTTAAAAAATTATAATAATTTGGTGAATTTTAATTTGTAAATCTCCACTTTTATATTTATTGTCTTAAATAATAAAATCCGCTAATATTTAATTAAATTATACCTTTAATTCAATTTCGGCTAACCATTACACAAATTAAATCCTCAACAATTTTAGTAAAATTAATAAATTAGCAAAATAATTAAAAAACGAAACTCTAATATTATTTTTTTTTCAATAATTTATTGAATATATAAGATATAAACTTTTTTTTTAAAGGCTAAAATTGTAATACATATAAAGTTTAAGGCTAAAACGGTAATAATAATTTAATTTGATAAAAAGGATAAATAAATAAAAATTGGTTTGAAGTAATTATAACGATGGGTAACTAACTTTTTAAAAATGAATGATGAGAGGGAGAGAGAAGGAGGAACGAAGGGTAAAATGGGAAATTTGAAGAGTTGAAAGGGATGAGAGAATGGGAGAATGTAAGGAAGAAAACAAAGCATAATGGTTGAATGGAGCAGGGATGCCAGCTGGTAGTGGGACCCACAAAATGGGCCCTCTCATCATATATTCTCACCTTTATTTATTTATTTATTTCTTTCTTTTTTTTTTTCACATAAATTCCATCTCCCTTTATTTTTATTTTTTTAAAATATTATTATAAATATTCTATATAGTTCAAGACGTTATATATTAAATAAAATAAATTTCACATGATCCATTAATATATATATATATATAGAAGAATATACTAAAATGGAAAATAAGAAATTCTCTATACTAAATAATCCTCAATTGGTAGGGGTGTTTATGTAATTTAAGAATCCTACCTGTTTTGATTATCCAACTCGAACTATATATATATATATTAGATTGGATTAAATTTTTTTTTTCGATTTGGGTTAAGTTGAATTTTTGAAAAATCGAAAAATCGAGTCAATTTGTGAGTTGACATTTTTTTGGTCGGGTCAACCTATACAACTTGAAAATAATGTTATAATTCAACCTGCACTATTTTTTTTATATTATTATAAAAATTAAAAAAAAATGATATTTGTAACTGAAGTTAATGATATGTTGGAACCGGTGAATATTTGATATTTGAGTTTTACAAAATTTTAGTTATTGATGTAACATGTAGATAAGTAATTTTTTAAAAATAATTAAAAAAAGAACTCGAAAATAAAGGATTGAGTTGGGTTGTATTGTGAATTTTGTTTGGATTGTTCGCGAACCCAATTGACTTGTAGGACTCTTACATTCATGTCAATTCATTTTCTGCCCTCAATAATTATTAATCCTTAAATATGTTTTTAGAATTATTATTTTTTATACTTTTATTATTATTATTTTATAGTTTAAATTTAAAATTATTATTTATTATATATTTTAAACATTTCACGTCAATATCAGTAATTTGAGAGAGCTATTAAATTAAGGATTAATTTGGGGGCCAAATTAATATGTGGACCAAATTGTAAGGACCAAAATGTAATTTATTTAATTTTTTAAAAAAGAATTAAGGTTTCACCATTAGTAATAAAATATAAACACAAAATTTAGGATGAATTACACGTGTCTATTTAATTAAGAAATATTTAATAAGTATTTTTAAAGTTTATTATTTAGAAACAAAATCGAATTAATTATTATTTTTTAATTTGTAATTTAACCTAAAGAAAGTATAAAGTTGGTGTAATGGAAGTACAGATCCACGTAGTGCAGTGTGTTCAAGAAGAAGAACGAAACGGGTCGGTCAGTTCGCCCAAAGATCCGCAGCCGCAGCCTTTGATCTTTGTTTATCTATTCTATAATCTCGATTTCTCTCTCAGATTCCAAGTTTTATCACTTCAATTACCGACTCATTTCGCCATTTATCGTCTCTGTTCTTAAGAATTGGCGCTCTTCTGTTTTCACTCTGTTCGATTTCTTCGGGGCCACAACACGGCGTGCGTCTCAATTCTTGGCCTCTCTTTGTTTATGTGATTCGCTGTTGACTGTTGAGAGTATCATCGCGTGGTTCGAATCTGTTTTTTGGGGTTTTTGTTTGATGTAATGGGTAATTGGAGGGAACGGCCTAGGAGAAATTTTCGGAATCAGAAGCCTCCTTGGTCGGCGTCAAGAAATTACGATCAAGATCCTCCGCTAGGTAATTTTCTTCCCTTGTTGTTTTTAGAATTAGGGTGCTGTGAGTTTCTTTTGTAGTGAAATTTCATGTTCGTCATTGAATTGAATGGAACTCGATTTCTTTGATTAGTTTCGTTAGTTGTTGGATAGAAATTATTCATTAGTTCAGTTGTTGAGTTGAATGGACATCTGGATTTTTTAGTTAGTTTTGTCTTGAAGAATGGCTTTTAGGCAAAATGTTGAAGTGAAGCTTGGGTTGGAGTTGGTAGGGATCTTGACTGATCCTTTGCTTTATTTTATTTCATATTTAGATTTTTACAGAAAGGACGTTCTTATCTTTTTCGTAATCTTGTGAATGTGATGTCTGCCGTAATTTACGGGCAATAAGGTTACTGTTTTGAGTAGTTTATGAATAAAAATGCAATGTAACATCTTTTCTTTTCATCTTTTTTGGAAAGATGAGAAAGTGAATTTATCAGTGGGCTGTGTGAGATTGATGAAGATGATATTCTCATGTTAAACATGAAATTGGAAGTTGTAGTAATTATGAAATTGGAAGCGGTCCTTTCTAATTTTGTTAGAACATCTTTTCTTTTTATCTTTTTTGGAAAGATGAAAAAGTGAATGTGATCAGTGGGCTGTGTAAGATTGATGAAGATGATATTCTCATGTTAAACATGAAATTGGAAGTTGTAGTAATTATGAAACTGGAAGAGGTCCTTTATAATTTTGTTAGAACTACTCCCAATTTGAAAAATAACTACCTTATTTCTAGATGATTGATGTTCTAGGGCTAAGAGCATTGCTTATTTCATATCTCATAGATCTTTTATTGATTAATAATATTAATAGAAGGCCATTTTCTCAGAAATATATGAACCATAGAAACTGCTGATGGTTACTGTTAAAAGATGATGTTGTCATCTTATTACATTACAAGAAGAAGAAAAAATCTCATGAAAAGTGGTAATTGTAGGAAATAGGGATGAATTTGATTGTACCTCCTTAAAATTTACATTTCTTTTCCATTTCTATCAAATGTTGCAATTCAGACAAGGCTAAGTGGTGTCTTACGGTGGTTTATGGGATTAAATTGACAAGTGAGTTTTCCACAAAACTAGTTTGATTAGTCATAAGATTAGCACTCAATTAAGCTTCAAACAAATTTGTATCTAATCGCTCTTCTACTTCTTGAGACTGAATATGTAGACTGGGAACTTGAGGAGGATTCGATGCCCTTTTGTGTATTCTTCATGTCAATCATTGTAAAGGGCTGCTATTAAGGGTATATTAGTAGTTAGTTAGGGAGTGTTATAATATTTGGTTATAAGTAGAGAGAGAGTGGAAAGGGAGGTGGTCGACATTATTTTGGCGAGTGATTTAGGGCTTGTGAGAGATCTTAAAAAAGGGGGTCCAAGTACCTCGAAGAGTTGGTCTATCTTGTAGTTCGGGTATCTTTTATCTTTCAATACATTTGGGTTCTATCAAATTGACTGTGTTAAAGCTTCAGGATTAAATTAAACCTAAACCAAATATTAGGAATCGAAATTATAAATATTCCATTTATATCTCTTCACTGATTTCTAAGTGTTTGGAAATGTGTGATGGTACAATTTTTATTTGTTTGGCTAAACAAAAAATGCAACACCTTGTTTTGTAGGATGCTCATCCATATTATTAATCTTTCAGTGAACTTAATGGTTCTGAATTAATTTCATCGTTTCTTCTTGGTGTAGAGTATTGGCGAGATGGCATTCCTTTATGGGAAAAGACATTTTGCAAAGAGATCGGCTGTGTGCCATGGGGTAAAATAGTTGATTCCAAGAACTTTATTTATTGTCATACTAATGTAGTCAATTGGGATGATTCTGCTTGTGAAGCGGCTTTCCATAATGCTAAAAGACGTTATTGGGCAGCCATTAACGGCCATCAGTGTGATATCAATCTGCCTGATCCGGACAAATATATTGAACAAATCGATTGGAGTCCAGAGATGGATCCTGAATTGATTGAGGAACTGGATTGGGCATACTACAATCCTAATATGAAACAACAGGATGATTGGTTGGAGTGTAAAAATAAAAGGACAAGGAACTCCAGTTCTGTTTGGACAGAAAGTCACATTGAAGATCCAGGTCATGTGGGTAATCCCTGGGAACATGGTAACCAATTCACTGAAACTAAACGACAAGGATGGAGCCAGTGGAATTTAAGTGAGTCGAGGCAGGTGAATAAAGATGGCAATCCTTGGGACAATATCATTGACCCAAGGAACAGGGGTATGGTGGACACTGCCTGGAAGGATAAAGGGAATCAAGTTGTCACCTCCTGGAAGAATAAAGGCTTTTCTAGAGATGCAAGAAGTATGGTAGACAATGCCTGGAGAGCTAACGTGCAGTATCAAGATGGTGCTGCCACCTGGAAGACTAAAGGGTTTGCCAGTGATGCAAGAAATAACTCATGGAGCAGGCACCAGCAGGGTGCCAGTAATTTTGATCATTATAATAGGCCTGGGAATAGCAATTACAATCGGAATGTCAGAAATTTACCTGATAGAATGCCGCCGAATATTCACGGTAACAAACAGGAGTGGAAATATAAGTATAGGTATGGCAAGAGGCCAAAAGATGCACAATTTGATTACATTGGAGGTAGGGATCAAGGAAACATTCCACCCAACCCACAAGGGGGAAGATTTTGATCAGCTGTTTCGTGTTGGAGGATATTCAAAGCTTCAAAGAGATTATTTTGGTTGTTGGAGTTGACTGGCCACATGAATTTTGATTTTGCCCACTAGTAGCCAACCACTTCTGTTTTTGCTTTGATACTGCAGGATCATCTATGTTTTTGTTGGTAGTTTTTAACTTTATTTCAACAAGAATGACTCTGCAGAATTTTTGGTATAAAGAATTGAATATGAGTGACTTGGTTCTTTTGCAGGTCAATAGGTAGATTCCTCCCCTTACAATATGCGATCCTTGTATGATCAGGCGACATTAAGTATGTATCATTTTGATTTGAGAAACCTCTTTTTGGGAGACTTTATAGAGGCAATAACAGCTCTACTATCAATCCAATTATGACTTGTATGTGTGATGGCCTAATCTTAGCCAAGAACATGGTGGAGTTCCATTGTACATCATCTTGATAATCTCCCTCATTCGCCAACCTTGCTAGTTGATCTATTCTCCTCCTTAATGATCGATTACTTTAATTCACTTTTTGGTATCTTTTTTCTTCACCTATTTTACTTCAGAATCATATTCTCACAGATGATTGGTTTTTTTCTTTTTTCTTTTTTTTCAAGAAGAAATATTCAGACAATTGGCTTCTTAAAAATGTGTTGCACACTCTGGATATGCAGTTTGTTCTTGTTCTTAGGTCCTTGTTCTGAGAAATGAGAATTCTGCTGTTGGGAATATGATAAAACCATGATCTGGAAATAGGAGGACGAGGGTACGAGTCCAACACGGTTGGCCAACACAGAAGAAGAAAGTTCAAAGTGGGAAGAGGTAAGTCCCTTTCAAGCATGTTATTTTCAGCCTCCTTGTGTTGATGCTTTGTTTGCTTGTGTTAAAACTAAAGCATGTTCAGCTATTCTTGTCATTGCTCTTAAGGTCTTCAGTAGGAAAAAGAGCCTTGAACAGAGCTTTTAACCTTTTCTCGAGTGTCCAATGAAAGAATTATAAGATTTAAGAGTGCAGGATCTTTAATTTAAGGAATGGACATTGATTGGTTGATGTGTTTGGTTACTCTTCTTTGTGAGGTGAAAATGTTCAAATCTTTTGTATAACACATCCTTTCTCTTTTATTACTGGCAGGTAAAGAAACGATTCAGGTACGGCTTGTTTGATAACGTCCTTTATTTTGGTTTGGTCTTCTGCATAAAAAAATCATGTTTATTTACAAACCATGCAATTTTGGCTTGAGATTAATTTTAAAGAACAGAACTAAATGCAAAGTTGTTATCAAAATGGGATCCAAGAAATTGCTTCTAGGAACACAGATGGATTTGCTGTTAGCTGCATAAGATTCAAAATTCCAGGTGTCTTAATCTCACCCATTTTCTGATTTACTTTGGCTTCTGTGTTGTAAATTGCATAATTGGACGGCTAGTTTTGGTTTGATCGGATCTTCTGGTGGCAGAGTTGCGTGCTTGGATTGAAATGCTGAATGAAAACATACTGGCTGAGGGTTGTTGTTAAATCAACACTGGTTTTGAGTGGTTTTGCTTGCAGCCTTGACTTATTACTGCTTCTATTCACTCTCTCGTCGAGTGATAATCCTCATCTTGTAGTATTTTGTTTATAACTACAAGTAGGGTATAAGATTTTGAACAACATGTAAATTTTGTATTTAAATTTGTTCAACTAGATTTTTAGAAATGGAGAATAATTCTGAGTTCTCTGCATATCAAATTTGAACCCTTTGGTTTCTATTTGGTTTCTATCTGGATTGATGAAGAAAATGGAATCACTTCTTATGAACTTGATAAAAAAAAAGAGTCTGAAATAGATCATATCAATGATTCTGATCTAGTTCATGATCTATTAAAAATAGAAGGCGCTCTATTTGATAATGATTGAGTAAACATTGCATCTTCAGCTTGAATCCAATGTAGAGATATGATACAAAATGGATAAAATAGAAACAAACACGGAAACAAGGAACTCAATCAGTCCAATGAACATTACTAAAATGATATTATCTTTTATAGTTAATTAAAATTATAGAATGCACACGATTACCATCCGCTCTATTCCTATATCACAAAAAACTCAACTCAATTACACATCCTTCCTATATCAGTTGTTGAACTATTCCTATATCAGCAAAGAAAAGAGTTTTTATTGATGAACAAATAGTGAGGAAAATAATTATGTTCTTAATTTGATAGCAGCTTGCTTCCTTTTGCTTTCAGCTTGGATTCAAGATTGAAAAATTTCAACCCACATCTTACCAAATCTGCCGTCTTCTTCTTCATGTGTTCAACTAACACTTCCTCACATACAATGCAGTTTGCTTCTCTCATCTGCCTGCTCTCCTTCAGATGTAAAAACGCTTTCTTGGCCCCGTCAATCGTCCCATACTTGCCCATTCCTGATACGATGGCCGAGTATGTCACCGCGCTCACAGGGCAACCTTGTTGCACCATCTCGTTAAGGACATCGATCACCATCTCTGCTTTACCAGATTTACACGCTTGGAGAATCGTTAGAGCGTATTTGAATTCCAGAGGTCCACTTTCGGTGTTTGCTAAACAGTCTCTAACAAGCATCATAACTGCGTCGATCTCGCAGATTTTGAACAGACCTTCGGAAAGAGAGCAGTAGGCTGCCACGGAAGGAACCGAACCCAGCTCAACTATTTTGTTATGAGATGCACAAGCCTCTTGGATTTCTTCGACTTCAACATAGCATGATACAACAATAGAGTAAGTTGAAGGGTCTGGTTTGATATTCGAGTTCTTCATGTCATTGTAGATCTCCAACGCTTTCTTCGCCTGCCCATGCCGGTGAAGAGCCCCAATAACGATATTGTATATCGCAACACTGCCATAGCCCTTATCGATCAAGCCACGAAACACATCTAGAGCTGTGCTTATCTTGTCCTCCTCTTCGACCATAAGAGACATAAACTTGGAAAGAACATCATCCATAGAAAGTTCCAACTTCTGCAACAATGATAACAACTTCCACAAATCTTCCATTCTTCTCGTCTCCACGTACTGAATCATAATAGGCTTCACCGTTCCGAAATCTGGCTTAAGATCCTCTCGTATGGTTACTCGAAAGAGTTTATACGCCCGATCGACTTGATTTACATTACAAAGACCTTTAATAAGAGAATCATATATCTCTAAATCAGCTCTATACCCTGAATCTACTAAATCCTTCAGCAAATCAAAAGCTAATCCAACTTTCTCATCCTGCACAAATGCCTCAATCAAGGACCCATAAATTGCTCTGTCTATCAAAATCCTCTTCCCTTTCATCTCCTGAAACAACTCGAACGCTTTTCGCACCCGACCGACTTTGCACAATCCAATAATCAAAGTCCCATATGCCATAACATCAGGCTCTACTCTATCAGCTATCATTTCATCCCAAACTCTCAAACATCCCTCCAAATTCTCCTCAGAAACCAACACTTTCACCATTGCTGTATAAGCAAACACATCAGGCTTACACGAATTTGCCCTCATTCGACCCAAAAGCTCGAGCATTTCATCAACCCTCCCTGCCTTACACAACCCTTTAATCAAAATCATGAAGGTAATGTTCTCTTCCACTAACCCATTTTCCTGAAAGTCCCTATAAACAGATAAAGCTAAATCCATATTACCTGTTTTGACTAAGGCATCAAGAATCCTGTTATACAAGAAAACACGAGGAATAACCCCAAATTTCTTCATCTTTTCATACACATAGTAAACTCTAAGACCCCTATTGGCATCACAATGCATTCTAATCAGAATCTCGAACTGTTTTTCACTAGGAGGCTTACCTTGTGAATCCATGAGCTCAGGAATCTGATCAGCAGCCCTGAAGCGATTGTGGCGATTCAAACAATAAGCAAAAGCATTATAAGAAGCGAAATTGTGATGAAACCCCTTTTGTTTCCCAGCCCAGTAGAAGAATTTGGAGGCTAAAATGGGGTTAGAATCACGGCGGTGAGAAGCCTTGAGAACCTCTGCCACAAGGTCCGGAGTAACCCGGCGGAGCTTGTTGAGTTCAGAGATCACCGGCGGACCCCATTGGTTTTGATTCTTCCGGAAGGCGTCGACGATGAAGCGAGCAATTGGGGAAAGGCGGAGGGCGCTGGAGAAGAAGGCCTCGGAGGGCGACGGCGTAAGGTTGGAGTGTTGTTTAAATGGGCGATCAGGATCCCAGTTGCGGAGATGGAAGGGTTGGGGTTTTGGGTAAATGGGTTTGTCGGGGTTGGGTGGAGTGAGGGATTGACGGTTGGTGAAGAGGCCGCCGTAGACGGTGGGGCGGTGCTGCTTGGGGTTGCGGTGGCGGTGGCCATAGAAGAAGTATTGCTTGTAGGGTTTTGAGGGGATTTGAGGGGGCATTTGTGGGATGTTGATGCCTCTTCTTTGGAGAAATTGGAGGCTGAAATCGCATAATTTGTGCACTTAGCTTAAGAAAAATGTTCTCAGGTTCGTAATCGTAACAGAGGGCTTCAAGAATTTGAAGCTGTAAGCTTTGTGGAAGGAGAAGAAGAAGCTGGGCTCATTCTCTATGGAATCCCTATTTCTTAAATCTTTACACTATTTTTTTGGTCTTATTTCTTTTTTCTTTTTTGTTAATATTCTTTCTAAATCTACAATAATTCCACATTTTTATAAACATTTTAAAACTATTATTCTACGATGATAATAGAATATTTGTTTGGATTAAGTTTGAAAAGAACAATATTCGCGACAATGTAGATTTATGACAATATGGTTGAATAACATTTTCCCTTATATTGTTGTGGAAGTTACTCGAATCTTGATATATCATTAGAACTGTGTGCGATATTTCAATCCATACACACAATAAAGAAGTAGATATCAATGCTTATCCTATATGATCATATTATACCATCTTATATCATCCATATTGAGTGATACTATTGTAGTAAGTTGGGCATACTTTGTTTGAATATCAAGTGACTTGAATGTTTGGTCATATTGCTTCTTGCACTATTGAAAGTGCCACAATTTTAGTTTTCATTGTAGATAGAGCTATTGATGGTTGTCGAGAGTCTCGTAGTGCGAGTATACATTGTTAACAAGTAGTATAAGAGGGAAGTATCAATTTTAGCATTAGTTGTAGATAGGGTTATTGATGGTTGTCGAGAGTCTCGTTGTGGGAGTATACATTGCCAACAAGTAGTATAAGAGGGAAGTATCAATTTTAGCTTTCGATGTAGATAAGGCTATTGATGGTTATCGAGAGCCTCGTAGTGGCGAGTATACATTGCCAACAAGTAGTATAAGAGGGAAGTATTCCAAGTATTAAATCCCGAGGGAATGACTCAATTTTCCAATATGACCTCCTTAGAGTTTGAAACAACAAGGTAACAACAAATAGTCTCGAAAGTAGAAAGTGAAAAGTTAATGGAAATGTAAATATTTATGAGAGAGAGGGATAAAAAACAATTTCAACTACAGCAGAACATAGAGGTCATTCAACGTTTGTTGCCTATTTGCAGAGTGTAGAAGCTTAGGTGGTAAGAAATACACCTACATCTTGACTACATTATATCTTGCATTAAAAGCCAACTGAATTTCTACCAAGTAAATAAACTTTTCTAAAACACTCAATGCTTCAGACCGACAATTTCAAATATCATTGGTATGTCATTTCTAATTGATATGATATACCAGTTACAGACTTGATAACAAATGAACATGCAGTATGGTAGTTTTATTGTATTGATAATGTATATCTACAATATACAGGGAAGTTTCCAAGTTCCTTGCCCATTTCTCAGCCGTCTAATCCAATCATATGAACACCTCCAAAAAAAACAAAGCAATTATTCATACCTCGGCTTCCCTTTTAGGGCGGTTGCGAGTTCGTGGAAGGGCTGGTTTTTCTTCGAAAGATATTCCTGAACCATCATCTTTGTTTTCCTCATCTTCCTCCATGATGGCTTGATTAAGAGCAAGCTGCTTCACAAACAACATACAAGAAACTCAGAAAAATGAATTAAGTTTCTTTTTTTTCATCTCTTTTTTATGACAAGAATGTGGATTGAAGTGAAGAGCCATGATCAAACTCATCCAAGAGCTTAGCAATGTGGTTTTTGCTACCTCCTTCTTTCTATTTTGATGCTTCCAAAATATTCCTGCTTTAAAAAGGTCTTGGGGTGACCAAGGTGGGAAGGACTTGGAAGTGTTTTGAGACAGCTTCAAAGTCCTAAGTTAGGGCTCTCACGTAAAAACCTCAAGTCCCGATTGATAAACATTTAGTTTTCGAAAACTAAGTTCACATACACTACTTCCACCTATGAGTGTCTTTGTTTTGTTATCTGTGAAGTTTTTCAAAATTCAAGTTAAGATTTGAAAACAAAAAGATGTCAGTTTCTAAAAACTTGTTTTCGTTTATGGAATTTGGTTTTGAACTATGTTACTTTAGTAAGAATTAAAAGTATCATAAAGAAATTGTCATCAAACAAATATAATTGTCAAAAATCAAACGATTATCAAATAGGGCCTTAGTCATTTAAAATCATTGTGTTCCGCTTCGGAACAAACCTTAAGAAGGTACTGTTGAGGATTATGTTGAGGATTATTAGGAGGGAGTCGCACGTGGGCTAATTAAAAGAATGATCATGGGTTTATAAGTAAGGAATATATCTCTGTTGGTATGAGGTCTTTTGGGAAAACCAAAAGTAAAGTCACGATAGCTTATGCTCAAAGTGGACAATATCATATCATTGTGGAGGTTCGTGATTCCTAATAGGTACCTCTCTCCTGAGATGAGTGGTGGTGGTGACCGGTGAGAACGGGTGACGGGTGAGAACTGAAACCATATACTACAAGGAATGAGGCCTTCGATACAAGATTATCCTATCCAAGTGGGGGGATCATTCAATCAAACGGTCATGAATCTACAAAAACAAGCCTTTGAGCAGAGAGGCACAAAGCGGGCAACTTTTGGGTGTGGGGGTGGGGGTACCTCTCCCTTTTTTCTGATCCCACTGAACTTAGAGAAAGTGCTTAACAAATAAAAGCAATCATCCCCATATAAGTACAAGTTTGAACAATCTTGGAATTAAAATAAGCACTTGCAGAGCCAACTAGGATGCATCTTAGTAACAATTTCTCAACCTTGTAATATTTCGCCTCAAAAAACTAATAACAGACTTCATAATCCTAGCTTAGGTGCCACCATATAAGAAGCCAAACCATGTCTCCGAAGACTAATTTCAAACAAGAATACTAATTCAACCATAATATTCTAACAGTCAGTCATTAGAAAATGTGATTTTCCTTAACAGTAAGCATTAAATCAAACAGGTTATCTGCATTAATATCACACCAGCCTCAACATTACATGAAATTTTATCTCAAAACTCAAGAAACCGTATCTAAACCAAACATGAACGGCAAATCACCAGAATCTCCGTAAAAATTAAGTCCCAAAAACAAAATGGAGCGAAATTAGAAATCACAAAGTGTACCTCCTCAAGAAATTTCTTGTCGAGGTTATCGCCGATCTTAAGAGCGGTGAGGGCAGTGACGAGAACGAGAGAGAACGGAATAGAGAAGGCGAAGATGTAACTGCTGGTGCTGGCGCCGGCACGAGTCGTCACCAGTCGTAGGGTTTTGACCGCCGATAGATCGCCGGGGAATCTGACCGCCGGCGACAATTTGGAAGGTCTGAAGAATGCCCGCGCCGGAGCGACGGGGAGAGTGGAATGGGGGAAGAAGGCTCGTGTCGAGATAAGGAGCCTCGCCATAGCTCTTGAAGTGTACGGATTTGGAACGGACGTTGCTGAAGGCTGAAAGTTGTGTATTAATGGATGGCCCAAGCCGGTTTCGATACTCTGCCCAAGCCCACTTGGACCATAGCCGTATGCCCCTCCCACCAAAATCATATCTATACCCATCAAGGCTAAAATGCTCCAAAATGTACCATAGTAGATGTGATCCGTCGTCAATTTTTCCACCTGGGTTATATGCTATCAAAGTTGATGTTACCTGTTTGTTTCCAACGCTTTCCTTGTTCACATTTTTTAAAACACTTTCTCTCAAACGTGCTCCGATACTCGATCATACGTCCAAATTGTCCATGAATTACAATTTTTACATGGTTGTCTTGTTCACCGAATTAGAACAAGTGTCGCACAATCATTATCTCGCTGCCACAAGAGAGAGAGACTGTGACATTAAACACTAACGCAGAACTCTACCAATAGTGCAACTCATTCTTTATGTTTGTATATAATTTTATGCTAACTCAGACCAATATCATTTTAGTCATCGACTTAAGCATTAAAGCATGTTCAACGCAACACCACATTAAATTTTCATAGGTCCTTAGATTCAATAAGCCGAGAAAATCGATCCTAACTCACTTGAAAGGGTCGAGTTGCAAAGGGTTTACGCACATAGTACGCCCTTATTCGATTTTCTCGAGAGAAAAAAAAAAGGTCTTTCAACAAGTTTGAAATTGACTTGTCTCGATGATTAGACTCTACGAAACTCAACATAGAAACCTAATCAACACGGCTGATAAAGAAGACTAAAGTTATAACTACTTTTCAAAAAGCTCGGAAACCAAAACGAAATAATTGTAAAATAATGGGAAGAGTTTGAAGACGGTGAAGTCTTGAAAGGCAATATGTTTGGCGAAGGACCACTTAGGGTTCAAAAAATGGACCATTGTATGCTTAAACCTGAAGAGTTGGTCAAAGATGGCTCCATAAAGTGGGTTCCAATTGGGCTTTCGGTGGTTAATTATTCATCAGCGCTCCCCCACTTATTTTTATGTTAAAATATTATTTTAATTTTAGTATTATAAAAAAATGTTAGTCTAAATTAATAAAAATATTGGTACACCAAATATTTTATCTAATTTAATTAATAAAAAGTGTTACACCAAATATTCTTTTTCATGAATGGTTCAAATAATGTATTCACGTTTAGAATAAAGTCTCTTAATTAATTGAATTATTCTCATATTATTAAGCTGTTAATTGTCACAATGAGCTGACGTTTCTGTATTTAGCTGATTGTATTAGAAATAAAAGTCGAGTAAAAAAATAAATAAAAACGCGAGATTTCAAGTGAAGACTATCCCTACGACATAGTCACATTATCTTATCTACTCCTTGCTTATTGAGAGTGAAGACTATCTCCACAGACCAATACGAGTCATTCCAACATATTTTGTCTTCAATCACATACATCACAGGAAAATTCATAGGAGGACGTCCAACATATAATTGCTTCAAATAAAACACGCTTAACTATAGAATTCTTACGATCGAGTCATCGAAAAGGAAGGTGCACCATGTTGGTATAAGTAGTGACTTTCAATTCTTTTACTCATTTCTTAGTCATTTTATCTTTATGATTGCTCTCGTTTAGATGTGCACTCAGTTCATTTATGTACCCCTCTTTCTCGGGTGTCGTCTCTAAAATTAATAAAATGTATAATAAGTCCCTAAAATCTCAATTTTTTTTAAATACAACATTAAATATTAAATATAAAATTAAATTCATTAATTAAAGAAAATACTGAATATTACAAAAAAAAAAAAAAAAAAAAAAAAAAAAAAAAAAAAAAAAAAAAAAAAAAAAAAAAA